GCCAGCCTGGTCTACATAGTGAGTTCCAGGACAGTTGGGACTACAGGGAGACCCTGTCTCAAAAAGACCAAAAAAAAAAAGTTTTAAATTTATTTTTTATTTAATGTGTATGAGAGTTTTACCTGCATGTATGTAAGTGCACCATGTGCATGCAATGCCCAAAGAAGCCAAAAGAGGGCGTTGGATCCCCTGGAACTGGAGTTAAGCATGGTTGTTAGCCGCCATGTGGGTGCTGGGAACTGAACCCTAGTTCTCTGCAAGAGCAGCCAGTGCTCTTACCTTCTGAGCCATCTCTGCAGCCCACTGGCTGCTCTTGCTGAGGACCCAGGTTCAGTCCCTAGCACCCACATGACAGCTCACAAACATCTCTAAGTCCAGTTTCAGAGAACCTGACACCCGCTTCTGGCCTCCACAGGGACTGTATGACCCAGGCACTTACATACATGCAGGCAAAATACTAATGCACATAAAATTTTAAAAATAAATAAAAGTTTGAAACAAATAAGTAAAAGTTGGACACTTTAAAAGGGGGTTGGCTAAAGGGATGGCTCAGCAGTTAAGAGCACTGGCAGACCTTGCAGAGGACTGGAGTTCCATTCCCAGCCCCAACACAGCATCTCACAACTGTTTATGGTTCCAGCTCCCGGGGATCCAGTGCCCTCTTCTGGCCTCCGCAGACACTTGCACACATGGCATACACGCACATACACATAAAGATAAATAAATCCTTAAAAAAATAAAAGCTGGAGCCAGGCATGGTGGCGCATGCCATTAACCCCAGCACTCGGGAGGCAGAGGCAGGTGGATCTCTGTGAATTCAAGGCCAGCCTGGTCTACATAGTGATTCCAGGTCAGCTGGGGCTACAGGGAGACCCTGTCTCAAAAAGACAAATAAATGAATGAATGAATGAATGAATGAACGAACAAATAAATAAATAAATAAATAAATAAATAAATAAATAAATAAATGCTGGACGCTATGGCATGTACCTGTACTCCCAGGGTGGCTGAGGTAGGAAGATTGGGCCAGCTGGGCAACATAGTGAGACCCTGTTTCTCTCAAGATAAACAGGCATCTAGGGATGTAGCTCAGCTGACAAGAGTGCTTGCCTAGCATGCATGATGCTCTGGGTTCAATCTCTAGCACCAAATAAACCACACATGGTAGTGCATGCCTATAATCCTAGCACTCCAGAATTGGAAAGAGAAGAATTCAAAGTCCACTAAATAGCAAGTTCAGGCCAGCCTGGGCTACATAAGACCCTGTCTGAAAAATAAGACAAACATAAACAATAGTAACAAAAAACAGCTTGCTGAGGATAGGCCAGCTGATCACACATCAGTTCTTTTGTAAGGTCAAGGAGGTGCTGCAGCCCCAGGCTTCAGCTGCCCTTTTTCTACACCTGGCCTGCCCTTCCCAGCTAGACCTAGCAAAGTCCCCATGTCCCAGGCTCACTCCTCTCTCAGATCCTGGTTGGGTGGACATCAGTCAATTCATCCCACTCGCTTCTCCTCAGGGTCAAGACCACACAGGGTGGGATTTGGGGGAGCCAGGCAGTAAGAATTAGCATCTTCCCTGATAGGGGTCAGCAGCTCCCAGGTCACCGCCCCTCCTCTCCTGCCCCAACAAGGCTTCTTGCCAACCTATTTGGCACTATGCCCTCTTTGATCTGGAGCCAGCTCGTTTGCAGCCAGTGTTAATTAAGAGAGAGGTGATGGGGGAAGGTGGGAAGGGCCGTGGAGGGCAGCTTCCGACAGCCGCCAGTGCTGCCCCGGAGGGCTGAAGGGGTTGGAGTCAGGCCTAGGCAGCCTGAACCACCTGCTGCTCCCTGCCCCTCTGCTCCCTTCCAGGCAGGGCTGCCCAGGGCCCAGTCACTCTTGTTTGCTGGGCTTGGATCTAGTGAGGTGACAAAGCCTCTGGGGTGCTTCTTGCAACTTGACAGGCCCCAGACCTGGCCGGGGGTAGAGAGAGATGACAGTGGCTTTGAGGCTGTCTCTTTTTACTTGCCTTTCCATTCAGACAAATCCAGTTCTAGCATTAATTCATTAATTTAGAGACAGGTCTCACGTATCCCAGACTGGCTTGGAACTCCTTAGGTAACAGGATGATCTTGAACTTCTGATCTTCCTGCCTCAGCATCTCAGAGCACTGGGATTCCAGGCATGCACCACCAGGCCTGGTTTATGCTGTGCTGGAACTGGGACCCAGGGCTTCGTACAGGTGTAAACCCTCCACCAAATGAGCTACAGCCCCAGCTCCCACCTCAACCCCACCATCCCAATCTTCCTCTCTGAGCTTCGGCTTCCTACTCTGTAAAACAGGAACAAGTGCCCCTCCCTGGTGGCTTTGCTACGATGATAAATGGGGTCATTTGTGAGGAGTGCTCAGCTTGTCTCTAGCAAAACATCTTCCATGGAAATGTGCACTCCTGGAGTCTCTGGGGATCAGACCCCTGCAGCCTGCCCCCCCTTCCTCCTGGGGTCCCCAAGTGATTGGCCTCAGGTCTTACCCCTCTGCAGCTTCCCCAGCTGCCTGGCCTGCTCGGTTGGCTCCTTCCTCATCCCCACAGCCTGGCTTAGTTCTGAGAGCGCCCGGCTGCTCCTCGCCTCTCCATCTTAATTAGCTGCTTGTATTAATCTTGAAAGTAACGTGGCAACTTGCAGCCCTAGGTTTTCGGGCTGTGGAATTAATTATTCCCCAAGCGAAGAGCTGTCAGGTCTGGGAGACCAGGCACTCGGAGCCACCCGACACCACTTAGCAGTGTCCAGCTTCCGCACAAAGCCCTCAGTCTGGCTGGTCTGGAATTGGCCCCTAACCCTCATGCAGAAAACACTGGAAGGTGGGGTGAAGTCCAGCCCTGGGAGGAGCTAAAGGCCTCCCTGGCAGCAAGGCCTCCTGGGCCTCCCACCTGAGCAGCAGCTAGGTCTGGGGGAGTTGTGGCCTCCCTTAGCTCCTTCTCTGATTGATGTTGGGATTCTCAGGGATGCAGAGCACGTGGTCAGATGGGGACCCCAGACTGGGCAGAGGCAATGACCAGCCCTGACATTCTAATAGAGGAGCAGCCAGCTTCACTTTGCCCACACATTGACCACATGGCCACATGGTGAGGCAGGAGGGAAGGCCAGCTGGGCAGAGCAAGATGGACAGGGCTAGTCTGGAAAGTGGCAGCTATGGTGGCCCTGAGTTCTGCTCTGCCTGGGTCACCTCCAGGCGAGGTAGGAGGCGGGGGGCCCTTCCTGTAACCAAGTCAGAGCTGGTGCTTGTTCTCTTGACTCTCACCCCAATCCTGTGAGCTGGGGTGTTCTGCCCATTTTACATTGGAAACTAAGGCCCATGCCAGGTGGCCTCATTCATCATGCGTTGGCTGGTCTCTGGCATCTGACATGGCTCAAGGCATGGTCTCCTCCACCAGCCACTCTCCTGCCTCCTGCTAGCTCCCTGGCAGCACTTACCACCCTGCCCTGGTATAGTTGTTTTCAAGTGGCCTCCAGACTGTGTTGTTACTAGGCAGCCTGTAGGCTGTGAAGGTGGGACAGGTTGTTGGCCTCTACACACCTCAGCCAGAGGCCAGGCACAAATGGGTCTCAGGAGATGCTATAAGGTCAAAGAGAGCAGGCAGAGGCACACAGGATAGCCAGGTCTGGTGGCACATACCTATTATCCCAGCACTTGGGATGTAGAGGTAGGTGGATCAAGAGTTCAAGACCATCCTTGGCTACGTTGTGAATTGAGCCAGCCTGAGATATAGGAAACTCTGTCTTTAAGAAGCCAGGCATGGTGGCGCACACCTTTAATCCCAGCACTTGGGAGGCAGAGGCAGGTGGATCTCTGTGAGTTCAAGGCCAACCTGGTCTACATAGTGAGTTCCAGGACAGCTGGGGCTACAGGGAGACCCTGTCTCAAAAAGACCAAA